TCCCAAAACTCACCTCCATCTCTCCTCTGGGGACAAGTGTGAAAGATCGATCTAGGGAGAAAAAAAAAAAAAAAACACCCATTAAATCAGCTGCTATGAAACTCTGGATTCAAATACTTTAAATAAGAAACCTCCACATGTCCACAGTGCCAGCATAGCCCAGAGCTGTCCTTCACCTTCCCAGGAAGAGCAGAGACTCTCCCTGCTCCTCCACCTTACTTACACTCCCACATTTTATTGGAGCCGAGGCTCTGTCCAACATTCCATGTGACCAGAACAAAAGAACTGGCTTAAATCCCACATTCACAATACAGCCAGGTGTCTCAGGGCACTGAGTGGTGATCCCAGTGAAGCCAATGCTCCCACCAGTGGTAGGACACTAGGCTGCAGGATGGGGGACAGTATATCACACACCAGAAATAAATCAATGCCAAAAAGATTTCAAACTCACAGTAAAATAAAGATTTAGGCCTTGCTTTGCTGAGATAGTTGAAAAATCCTCCCAAATATCACAGGCAGGAGCTACCGAGAGCAAGGGGAGCTGCTGTTATTAGTGATGATTGACAATAGATACTTGTATCCCATCTTCTCCAGTAAGATTCACAAAAAGCATGAATACTCTCGCTTTTGGATGGGAGAGGAGTAAGGGGAGCTTCAACACTGCAATTCTGCTTTCACCTGGAGCTTTATATAGAATCATAGAACCACAGAATGCTTTGAGTTGGAGAGACCTTAAAGCTCGTTTTACTCCAACCCTCCTCCCATGGGGACACCTCCTCTAGACAGGCTGCTCCAAGCACCATCCAACCTGCCCTTGAACACCTCCAGGGATGAGGAGTTCACAGCTTCTCTGGGCAAAACCTTCCCTTGATATCTTCACCTAACTGCTGACAAGCCTCCAGCACTGCTCATGTCCCCACACAGGGTCACTGACCAGGCAGCACACCCTGACCCACAAAACTGGGGAGGGAATCCCACAGCTCTTCCCATTGTATTTTCTTGGTGAGACACAAACTCAGATTAAATCAAGAGCAGCTCATCTGGGCTGGGAACATACATGTGGGGTTTACAAATCTTCACAGTGCTGGAGACACTCCAGTATTGCTGAGGCATTGGAGGTGAAGGTTGGAAACAAGCCATAGCATGGACTGTGTACACAGGAACGAGCTCCACCTCACCCCACTGGATACAGGGCCAAGGCTTGGATCCAACCTTTACTGCAGCAGCAGCCTCACCTGCCTGATCACCATCACACATCTCCCAAGCAGCAGCTCTGATCACAGCCAGGCTCAGCTGAGGATGCACAGCCGCCTCATTTCCTCTGTGGCACCTAATTTTACCCCAGGGTGAGGAGGTAAGGAAAAACACACCACAGCAATCCATCTGCCTGATGTGGAACATCTGCTGAGCTTCACTCCATAGCAACACCTGCAAGAATTTCAGCCCTTGAGAATCAAGTCCTGAAGAAAAACTTTCAGGACTTAGATGCAAAATCTAAAGCTAAGAAAATCCTCGTTGGAGTTCGCTGGCCCGTGTCAGAAGCCAGGGGAAGGTGGCGACAACCTGACACAGAGAAGGGTGTTTATATTGACCAAATTCTCTGAGCACCTCTGTTCCTAAAGCAGCCACGTCCAAATGCATCAGTTCAGAAGTTGCAATGTAATTTGGAGCAAGAACTGCTCCAAACAAACAAGAAAACGGGAGATTTTAAAATGTTTGCTGGTCACTGCACACAGGAGACACTGAGAAATCCCTAGTGCCTGTTTGCTCCAGCACAGGTCAACCCCTCTACAAACTCTGAGATCCACCTGGGTGCTCCCACTGCCTCCCACCATGAGACCCCCACTCCTCCCAGGCTCTGTCCCCACCCTTGCAGGATGAAGACATTTGACAAGCACCTTCCAACCACAGCAATAATTTTCATTCCTATACAGTGGCTCAGCTCGCTCCTTTGTACCACACCAGCAGCCACTCTACAGAGACTGGGATATTTACCAGCCTCTTTCCTTTGGCATCTTCCCTGAATCTCCAAATTGTTCCAGCAAATGCATTCAAGATGCCTCAGCTCCAAACCCTGTGGAAACACTGCTGGTGTTGCTCAGAACGGGTTTCTTCTGAGCTGTGCTCCCAAACCAATCAGGGATCCGTGGCCCTGGACACAATTTTCTCTCAAGTACAAGGACTGAGCTTCACCAGATTCCCCAGAGCTCAAAGCTCCTGAAATAACTTTATTAAGCAGGGGGCAGGACGTGACAGAAGAGATGTTGGGAGGGATCTGATGACTGTCAGAAAGGACATAGCAGAGCAGCCACCCTGAGTCAGACCTTCCAGTTAACTCCTCCTTGACCTGCACACTCTCTTAGCACAGAAGTTCTAAGGGTTAGAGGTAAAAATGCACAGCAGTGATGAAGGAAGCACTTGCCAGCAAGCATTTATTCCACTTCTAGTTCGGGGTTGTCTGATTTTAACATGCAGTTTTTGAGTCTTTTGGGTCTCTTTCTAACCCCAACAGCTAGGTAGAAGAACCTCTACTCCTAAATCTCCCTTTACCAAGAGGGGTTTGACAAGAACATTTAGGGTGACTGAAGCAGCTGAAGATCAACTCCAGCCTACTCCTATTCCACACCAATACAGGACCCAGTGTGCTACCAACTACAGCTCTTAGACAAACTTTTTGTTTTAAAGAAAATGAATTAAGAACAATTCTTCTGCTCTCTATCTCCTCTGTAACTCATGATCCTCTCAAAAACCACAGCCTCCTCTGGGTGATGACTAGGAGAAACTGGATATTTAGGACTAAAGTTTAATCCTCTCCTTGGTGGTATGGCCTTTGGAAGAACCTTGTGCCACTCTCTGGTTTTCTGCAGGAACTGATTTCCCAAAGCCTCCACAAACCTGTGATCCCCACCACTGGGACAGTCACAGAATAACCCCCCCTAGAAAAACACAAAGGCTGTTGATATGGAGAAGACTTTGATAGTGCTTAGTATCAAACTTAATACTTCTACATAGTTTTGATCCTAAAAGGACAGGGACACCCCAAAAGGGACAGGGAGACCCCAAAAAGTCATGGGCAAAGCTGGAGCCCATGTTCCTCACAGCCCAGGGAGTTGGGAGGATCTCTGGGCAAACACACACACTGCTGTGAGCTGACTGTAATCCACTTATGCTCTAAATCTCCAAAGGAGGCAAGAAGAATGCCTTGAGGATGGAGAATGAGCAGCTGCTGATTTCAGTTCAAAGCTCCAGAGCAACTGACAGCCCTGATTTCACTTTTCCCATTGCCCCAACTTCAGTCTTTGTCTCCCAGCACCTACCAGGAATAATCTGAAATAAGGGGAAGATAAATCTCTACAGTGCTGTAAGTCCAACCAAAGCAAGTTGGGACATGGAATATTCTTTAGTGAAAGTCTGAAGAAATTCTGGAATCTCAATTCTGCATTTTTTCCCGCTCACAAGACGCAGGAACAAGGAGCAGGGAGTGGAAATCCCCCAACTGATCAAATATTTGGATAAATGGAAATTAAACCTTTGCCTCTGCACAGGCAGAGCCAGGGCCACGGGACACTTGGCTTTATTCTGGTGGAATGTTAAACTGCTTTCAGGTCCCCACCACGAGTGGCTCATCACCAAACTGCTCTGCCCAAAGAGCTGCCAAGACCTCAGGACAGCACAGGCAGATAGTTTTTTGCACCAACAATTTGTGGAATCACAGGGATAAGCACAGTCTTAAATGCACCTCCTCATTCACTACCTCCTTGTGATACCCTCTCTGCCAGCTCCTGATGGAATGAAAAGTGGTGATTTCATTTCTGAGGATCAGAGATTTGGATCTTCCACATTTTTACATACAAAGTCACCAACGAATATCTTAAAATATAACTAGTAGCAACTCAAGAGTGACCAATCTGGGGTTTAATCCTCCCATCACCCCACAACTGGGCCCTGCCAGGAATCTTCTCCAAAACAACCGTCAGCATCTGACAATTTTGAAGCCACACCACCAGTTCTTGAGGAAAGGCACAAAAAAATTACCTGACTGTACCAGCTAAGTGACTTATGACCCCTGTGCAGCCACTCCCACAGTGCAGACAGGATGGAACCAAGTACTCCTGGTTCTCTACAAGTGAAAGAAAAACTCCCAAGCATGAAGCACAGGGCACGGTGAAGAGCCACTGCAAAGCCCAGGCCAGCACCGCCGGAGAGTGGCACTTGCACTGTGACAGACGCACCCACCCTGCTTCCAATTCCAACTTTCCAGACAAATTTTTTCTTTCCAGTTTTGCAACTTTTCATCCCCAGGAGCATTTAAAAGCCAGCATGGGAACAACAGCTGAGCCTCCACCCCTGTCCCCTGCCCCACGGGCCCTCCAAAGCTCCCAGGGCCACCCTGCTCTGAGACCCTCAATGGGATCTCCCCCACCCTAACACCCCCCACAGCTACTTCCCCCAAAGGTCTACAAGCTCAAAGCGACCCAGAGTCGCCGCCATCCCATTCCAGGGACCCTCAAAGCTCCTCAGCGCACATCCCTACACCGTTCTCCCGGAGCTCGCGTCGCCCAGGCCCCACGTCCGCTGCGGCTCCCTTTCCCCAAGCAGCCCACAGCGCTGAAGCAGCTCATCCTTGCCTGCACTCCCCCGCCCTACCCGGTTCCACCGAACCCGCCCGCCGGCAGCCCCGCGCCCCGCACCTCCTCCGCCTCACGCTCAACGGGGCCGCCAACCTCCACCTCCAGCACCGCCGCCATCTTGCCCCGCCCCCCTAGCGGCCAGCCTCCTCCGCCGCCGTCCACCAATCACCGGGCAAGCTGCCGCACCTTGGGCCAATCACTGGACGCGGCGCTGTCCCGGCGGCCAATCAGGAGAGGGAAGGAGTGGAACGGCTGCCAGACGCGGCACTTGGGGCGCATAAGGGCGGTGAGCTGTCAGGGACGGGGACTGGCTCCCGCTTCCCGGCCCGGGACGCGGAGCCCCGCTGGGCAGCACCGGCAGCACCGACCGCCTCGCACCGCCGGTACCGGCAGTGTCAGTGCTGCCCCCGCCTCGTGCTGCTCCGAGAGGGCGCAGGTGGCTGCCGAGCTCCGCCCGCGGGGCTGTACGCGGCGGTGCCCGCGAGTCCCGTCAGGCACCGCGGCGGGTCCGCGCTGGGAGCGGCGGGGCGGGCGGTGAGGGGAGCGCTGAGGGGGGCAAGTGATGCGGGATCGGTGCGGTGAGGGGAGCGGTGAAGGTACAAGTGATGCGGGATCGGTGCGGTGAGGGGAGCGGTGAAGGTACAAGTGATGCGGGATCGGTGCGGTTGGGGCTGGGCGGTGAGTTGAGAGCGGTGAGGGGGTCAAGTGATGCGGGATCGGTGCGGTTGGGGCTGGGCGGTGAATTGGGAGCTGTGGGGTGAAGCACCGCGTTGGCGAATGGCGTGGAGAGGCTGTGCGGCAGAGACAGGGTTTTAATAGGGCTGGAAAGTGGGGAACGACTATAGCGATGGCAGAATAGCTCTGAGGTGGTGTTTGTGGGTCTGGGAACACGGGCTGTAGGGCTGAAGGGATTTACGGGTGAAGGCTGGATGTGGGTGGTACCCGCGGGGCAGAATGGGGTGTTGTGGGGTGAGCTGGGGGCACAGGAGTGGCTGAAGGGAGCTGGGGGATTGTGAGTCAGATATGGGGGTTACTGCTGGGACGGGAACCTGAGGGGTGGTGAGATGGGGCTGGGGGGCTGCTGAATGTTTCCAAAGCCAGGAGATGCTCAAGGTCATCAGACTCTCTTCTCTCCCCACCAGGCACCGGAGGCATCCAAAGAGAAGTTACACGCTGGCAGAGTGTTGTCTCCAAAAGATCCTGAATGCTTCTGGTTAAAATCAGCTGTGTAGTGTCCTTCTTCTCCCAGGTGCCTGGGGATTTCCTATGGGGGGCTGTGTGTGGAGGTGATCCCTCTGAGCTGCTAGGGTCTCAGAAGAGGTGGGTCAGGGCACGACAGGGTGCAGTACTACCTCTCCTTGTTAAGCTGAAGATAAATTATTCATGTAATCCTTACTCTCTCAAAGTGGGATGTCGTTCCTGTAGTTACAGAGAATTCCGTGCTTCTTCCTATGTCCAGAACAAGCTAGACTGGAGGGGAGGGGTTGGTACATGATGCTGTGTCCCTGCTGTGTGTGCAGGACCCCAAGGACCTGACAGAGAACCTGCTGAGTGAGGATAGCATACAGCCCTGGCTTGGCTGCCCCAAGAATCACCAGCAGGCAGCTGAGTGTGGAGCTGTGATTAGAGAGCCAGTCCCATTGGCTACACTGACATTGATACTTTCCTGTTCCCCACTCCCATGCAGGAGCCAGCATGCCAGCAACTGCAGGGAGATACCAGGGGCCCTGTCCTCACCTCAGTGCCTGCAGCAGGACAGCAGAGATGGGGACAAATCCTGTGTCACCACCCTGAGGGCTGAACCTGCAGTACTTCAAGGGACAGAGACACTGCAGCCCCCAGACATTTGTGGCAAGGCTGGTGTCAGGATGGAGAAGGTGCTTCCAGCCCCATAGCCAGGCTTGGTGGGGTTTGAAGCACTGTAATGGCAGGGGTTGCTACTGGAAAAGAGTAAATTAAAGGAGAAAAAGAAGACAGAAATCTGCACTATGACTGCTTGGTAGTACAGCAGGTTCCCTGGCTGAGCATCCTGCCTCAGGATACCCTGTGTAGTTCATTGATAGGGCAGGGAGGAGGTCATGCTTTTCCTCCCCTCAAGCCCTGATAAGGGTTCCAGTGCATGGAACTGTAGGAGAAGGAAGCCAAGACCCCCAGATCAGGTGAAAAATACACTTTATTTACAAGTAGAAACAGGACTGGGCAGGTAGGGGGGGTCCCACACACAGGGAGCAAGGGTGGTGGCCCTAGGGATGCTAAGTTTCACCTCTGTCCCTGTAACTGGGGCTGCAGGATATCCCTGGGGAGAGCTGCAGCCTGGTGCCAGCCCCTGCACCCCTGTGTGTTTCTAGCCCTCTACCTCTGTGCATCCCCTTGCCTTGGGTCCCAGAAGGGTTTAGGGTGACAGTGGGTACAGGAAGGGCAAGGGGGCCTTGCCATGCCCACAGTTGTCAGTGGGATATGCAAGGCAGTCTGTGGGTGGCCCCACCTGTTCACCCTCAGTGCTCCTGGGCCCTGGGGGGACAGGAAGAGGTGAGGGAGTGCAGGTGGGGGGCCAGGGCAGAGCCAGCACTGCAGGGACTGGATTCTGGATCAGGATTGCTTGTCCTTGCGCGACTGGCGACTGACCTGGAAAGGACAGAGCGAAGACGGGAGGTTAGGGACCACGAACATGGCCGAGCCTCATGCAAGGACCTGCTGTTGCCATAGCACCCCAGAGACAGCAGGGACTGTCCCCCTTTCCCCCACGGCGGGGGCTGGGGGCACTGGGGTGAGCACGAGCCCAGAAGTGTGCCCTGGGGGTCAGGCAGTACCTACCTTGCCCTTTGGGGACTTGGCGGTGGCGATGCGGGATGAACGGCGAGTGCCCCTGGAGGATGTGGGAGTGCTCCTCTGGGCGACTGCCCGGCGCAGCAGGCGCCTCCCCAGCTCCCTGGGGGTGTTGAGGATGCTGAACGCCATCGACTGGTGCCTCTGAGCCTGCAAAAGAAGGGCAGGACCATTAGCTCAGGGTGGGGCAAGACAGAGGGATCCCTCCTGATCCCTCTTTTTCCCTCTGAAGCTTACTTGTGTGGCTGGGGTAGGCTGCTCGCTGTGTTGACGGACCTGGGAACCACTCTGCTCACTGCGGTCCTGGGTGGTCTGTGGCCGTGGGAAGCAGCTGGTTGGCTTCTTGGACTGGAAAACAGGGGACCAGCTAGTACTGCCATCTAGGGTTCAGCCTGCTGTGGGGCTGGCAGCAATGAGGGAGCTGAGGGGCCACAGGGAGGGGATGTAATTGAGGGTAGCAACACCAGGGAAGGCAGAAGGCTCAGCCCTTCACCTCTGGAATGGCCTCCCTGCCAGCACTGGGAGCACCACCAGTACTAGGCACACCACTGGATGCTGGGAACATTGGGAACTGGAATCCAGGATCAGTGGGAACATGTGGCAAATGGGGATGTTACCCACAGGGCCACAGAAGCTCCCTCAAAACCTGGACCAGCTCTTGTTCCCAGTAGGGTGCTGTGATGGGGAACTGGGCTGAGCTCACCGGGGGGGTGTCAAGGCCCTGGTGGGTCTCCTCCGAGAGGCGCTTCCTCTGCTGCCGGGTGGTGATGCTGCTGGCCTGGCTGCTGGTGGCGATGATCTGGGAGGCCTGCATGCTGCCACGTCGCAGCGTCTCTTCTGGGTCCCCCATCTTCACATCCTCATCTGTGATGGTTCCCAAGGAAGTGGAGGGCTGGGGAGGAAATGTGGGGATGTTTGTCCATTCCCAAACCCCCTCCCAAACCCCAGTTCTGGACAAAGGGCTGCCTAACCTCTCCCTCTCACCCCTTACCATGCTCTCTAGGGGGTAGCTGGTCTTCAGGTGAGGGGGGCGGGCCTGGTTCCGCCGCTGCAGCTCTGCAATGCGGTTCCAGTCGTCCAGCTGCTCCGGCTCATCCTGGCACGTGCCCAGCTTCATGGTGCTCCGGCCTAAATCCAAAGCAAGGAAGGATGAGAGGGGGTTCCATGTAAGACCTGACTCCCCCAAGCCAGGGCAGAACCCCGCAACCAGCAGTGCCTACCCTGCCCACACACACCGAGGCTGGAGCTGCTGGTCTGCTGCAAGCGCAGGGAGCTACGGGTGACTGGCCGGTACCCAGGGAGGCCCAACAGTGCCGACTTGCCAGGGGTCTTCTCTGGGGAAGAGGCTTCCAGCTTTGCAAGAGTTTCCTGGGAGGGGAGGCTGGTGAGGGAACGAGTGGAGGCACCTGAGCGGAGACGGCCCTTAGCAGGGGAAGACGTTTTTGTGGACTGAGCCAATGGGATGTTCTTGATGCAGACCAGTTCGTCAGACTTAGCCTGTTTCTGGGAGAGAAAAATCCACAGATGGGTTTTGGTTGAATGGAACTTAAAGCTCATCTCCTTCCATTCCCGCTTCCCTTGTCTGGGGACACCAGGTTGCTCTAAGCTGCATCCAACCTGGCCTTGAACACTTCCAGGGATGGGGAAACCACAGCTTCTCTGGGCAACCTGTGCCAGGTCCCTTGCCACCCTCACAGGGAAGAATTTCTTCCCAATATCCCATCTAACCCTGCCCTCTGTCAATGGGAAGCCACTCCCCGTTGTCCTGTCACTCCAGGCCCCTGTCCAAAGTCCCTCTCCAGGTCTCTTGGAGCCTCTTTAGACACTGGCAGATGCTCTAAGGTCTCTCTGGAGCCTTCTTCTCCAGGCTGAACACCCTCCCCCCACTCTCTCAGTCTCTCTCCAGAGCAGAGGGACTTCAGCCCTTGGAGAGCTTCTGTGACCTCTGTCCTGACTCCAGCAACTCCATGTCATTCTGATGTTGCAGGTCCCAGAGCTGGAAGCAGCTCTGCAGGTGGCATCTCACCAGAGTGGAGCAGAGGGGCAGAATCCCCACATTGCACTGCTCCCCACGGTACTGGGGATCAGCCGAGGACATGGCTGGACTTTAGGCTGCCAGTGCATATTGACAGGTCATGTTCAGCTTTTCAATTCCCAGCATGCTGGGTCCCTCTACAGTGCTGCTCCTGCTCCCTGCATTCCCCAGCAGGGCCCCCTGCTCACATCTGTCATGGTGATGTTGATGGTCGTGCGGCGGTGGGCGGAGCGGGTCTTGCGCCCGGAGTCGAGCGAGAAGTCACCCGGGAAGTTGGCGCGCGTCTCAGAGAGGATGGGAGTAAAGCAGAGACTCTCCAGTCTCTGGGGCAGCTGCTGAGACAGCAGTGAGTCTTCACTGTCTGATGGCAACACTGAGACTTCCAACTGAGAGCTGGTAGCCTTCCTGCAGAGACAGAGGATGAGGGTAGCACCAGCAGGCTTACCAGGCCAGCAGGAACAGTGGATTTTTGGGGTGCTGAAAGCAGATCTGGTACCTGGGGGAGCTGAGCAGCTCTGCCTCATCAAGGCTGTCAATGCTCTGGTCGGCCACACCCTTGCAGGAAGTCTCCTGTCCCTTTACTGTGGCAGTCATCTTGCTGAGTTCCTGCACCTGTCGTTTGGCAACCTCCACCTGAACGGGAAGCAGGGAGGAATGCATGGATCTGTCTTCCAAGGCCAAGGAGGTTGAAGCTCAACTGTGCTATACTTACCTGAGCTTCCAGGCTGTGGATCTGACTGGTAAGATTCTTGCAGCTCATCTCAGACTCCTTGGCCTGCAGGATGTTCTGCTGTAGCTCCTTGGCCAGCCTCTCCGATTTGCTCTGAAGCTCTTTGTTCTCTCTCTGCAGGTGCTCCATGGCCTTCAGCTTCTCTGATAGCTCCTGGTTCTGCTGCTTCTTGGCATCATAATGACTTTTTGCCTTCTCCATCTAGGATATAAAGCAGAAGAATCACATGCACCTTCTCAGCAGTGTCAAGGACAGCAGGGCCATACTAGCTCCCAGCATACCTGCCCTTTGTAGTGCTCAGCTGCCTGCTCCTTCTGGGTGAGCTGCACCTGCAGCTCTGCCACCTTCTCCTGATGGCTGGTGACTGCTGCCTGCAGCTCCCCTTCAAGTGCCTGTGAGTAGGGAAGAGACTGGCTTAGAGACAACCCAGGTGAGCCCCCTAGCAGCACCAACAGCTGCAGGGGTCAGCCCCCAGGTTTTTAGTCCCTCTTTACTTTAACTCTCTGCTGCTGGGTCCAGGTGGCCTTCTCATGCTGAGTCAGCTTTTTATTCAGCTCCTCCACCTGGAAGAAAGAACATGGCTTGGTGAGATCTGCTCCAGGCACAAAACTGCAATCTTCCTGTGGAGGAGCACAGCCCCTCCTCTCTAGCCAGATCTTGATGTGTTACCTGCTTAGTTTGGTCCTTCTGGATTATCTCCAACTGCTCCACCTGCAAGTACAAAAGGCAGAGGTGAGGCATAGGCTGTTTTTCATAGAATCATGGAGTCATTTATGTTGGAAAAGGCCTCTGAGATTGAGCGCACTGCCAAGACTACCACTAATCCACGTCCACATGTCTGTTAAATCCCTCCAGGGATAAGGACTCTACCACTGCCTTGGGCAGACTGTGCCTTGGCTGGACAACCCTTTCAGGGAAGGGATTTTTTCCTAATATCCAACCTAAGCCTCCCCAGGCACAACTTGAAACTATTTCCTATTGTCATGCCACTTGTTAACTGGGAGAACAAGTTACCTGGGAGACCCCCATCTGGCTGCACCCTCTTTTTAGGGAGCCATTTCCCCCTAGCCTCCTTTTCTCCAGGCTTGGCCCCACCCCCCAACTCCCTTAGCTGCTGCTCATCAGACCAGTGCTCCAGATCATTCCCCATTTCAGGAAACACTACAGCAGCATGTGAATGTGACAGTCCCTTTCACACCTAGAAATGTGTCCCACACCCCTAGTCCCTGTGCTGAGCAGGACACGGGTTCAGGGGTGTGCAGAAGGCTGAACAAGTCAACAACAATGTCCCCCATCCACATCCCTCCTGCTGGGAGTGGAACCCCTACCTGAGTTGTCAGTCTCTGCTTCTCTTCCAGGAGTTTCTTCCTCTCTTCTGAGGCTGCTGCT